ACGATAAGGTTCCAAGAGATATGTTCCAAGAGATATCCTTTGGAGAGTTCTTGAGAAGAAAGGTTTTGATATGACTCACATTCAAGTCATTAAAGATCTGTATGCTAAAGTTGTTAATTGTGTTCAAACTGAAGGTGGATTGCTCAATTATTTTTCTACTTCTGTTGGATTACATCAGGCATCGGCTTTAAGCCCATATTTTTTTGCTTTAGTTATGGATGGTATTACTGGACATTTACTGGAGGATGTACCTTGATGTATGCTTTTTGCTAATGATATCCTTCTCGTGGATAAGACGAGAGAAAAAAGCTCAATAAAAACTTGAATTATGAGGTCTACATTGGAGTCTAAAGGCCTAGTAGAACTAAAACTGAATACGTGGAATGTAATTTTAGTAGTAGTAGCTCTAGTGACAAAAATGTAACTATGGGAGATTAAATTATTAAAATGTGAACGATTTAGATATTTTATTTAGATATCTCGGGTTTGTTGTTCAAAGCGACGGTGATAGAGATGGGGATGCTAATAGTAGAATTCAAATTGGTTGGTTGAAGTGGAGGAATGCTTCGGGCCTTTTGTGTGATAGAAAAGTACCGCTTAAACTGAAAGGAAAATTTTATGAGATGGTGGTGAGACCTGCAATGCTCAATGAAAGTATGACACTAAATAGGACGCAATAGAGAAAAAGGATTCATGTAGCCGACCCCACGTAGTGGGATTAAGGCTTCATTGCTGTTGTTTTTTTTGTATCATTGTTTGTGTTTCATTCAACCAAAGCAGGTGGGAGATGTGTTGTTCAGACCTCACAAGAAAGAAATATGTCCTGTGGAGACTAATAAGATAAATTATACAGTACTATAAAATATATCTTTGTGGATAATTTGCTAAGTAAAAGTTTCATTAGATTATCAAGTTGCTTTTTTTAATTTTTATTTTGGCATTCTTACAATTCATATTGTGAAAATCATTTTAAAGTATGAAATAATTATTGTTTTTTTTCATATATTTGTATTTTTTAGTTCTTAACAAGATATGAAATAATGCCAAAAAAGTTTTAACTATAAATTTTCTTAGTTAATGCATATATGAAAAAGTTAGGTTAAAAAAAATTGAAGTTTAGGTGTTAGATATGTAAATACATAGAAATGGAGTGGTATGTATGTAAATCTTCCGGAAAAAAAAAAATGGCATTAGATTCTTAATTCCATATTAACTGGCTGCAATTTCTCTTTGATCGAATCTCCATATTCTTCATGGAAAAAAAGAGTCTTAAAAAATTGAGGGAATAAAGCCTAGCAGGTAATAAAAGCAGGAGAAGAACTTCCATTGCCATTATCCTTCAACAACAACTAAGAAATGGCTGCTAACAATCTCACTCTGACATCCTCTCGGAATTGGAGGAACAGAGATGACGATTGGGATTATCAACAAATTAGACCACTCTCTGTGCCGCGACCTCTCAATAATCAGCAGGTACATCTATTTTAGGGTCCGTTTGGGGCAGTTTATAACTGCGGCGGCGTTTTTGAAAACGCCGCTTAACCACTTGGTTTGCGCGTTTTTGAAAATGCTGTCTGCCGCGTTTGGGTTTTAAACACTAAAAGCAGGCCCGCGTTTTAGGATAAGCTGCTTATCCTGAAACGAAAATGCCCCAAACAGACCCTTATTCATTATATTATAACTGTACAGTATTAATGGAATTATGCAGGTTTATAAGGGTTTTTTTGTTAATTTTTTTATTATTTCATGATTCAGGGGGAAGGAGATGGCATGTATCTCCCATGGAGACGGTTTGAAGAAAGAGTAAGAACTGGACCCTTTGGGTTAGCTCGGTAAGTTCTATATTTTTATGAGCAAGGAGATCACAAGGAATAGTTTTTAATAAAAAAATTTAATTTTTAATTTCAAGCAGGAATTTTGATTACTTTTTTGAAGGGGTCTCTTTTTTATTTAGTAAAAATTGATGAGCTTTTTTATTGTGAGGATGCAAATTTAACTATTCCGGTTTGATTGAGCTAAAGTCTTCTCAAAGTTTAAGTATTTGATTTTGTTCCATCTCAATTTTAGGAATTTTGGTATGATCTATTTTGCAGATAACTTGATCATGAGTCACATCTTCTGAATTTAATAAGTGAGATTTAAATTATATCCTAGATTACATATGAACAAAACTATCATGATCATCAAAACAAATTATTGAAATGGTGATTTTATATATGTATATGTAATGTCATTTCAATTATTTGTTTTTGATGATGATGATAATTATGTTCATATGTAATATAATGATAACTTTGTCTAATTTGAGCATTGCTCAATTATCATCATGCCCTCACAAAATAGCTGTGCTGTATATACTAGAAGAAAAATCTGAAAATCTAAATATATAGAAAAAAGTTAATAGTATTTCAATAACCCAGACCCTCAACCGAAGGCACCATGAATGGCGAGCGAGTAAACCCCAGACTTCTCCAATTCATCCACGAATCCCCACCTCGAATTCGTGGCGAATGGCAGCTCGGCCTCCTCGCGGACTCCGAACCACCTGCGTTAACCGATGACGAGTTCAATGCGGCCATGAAAAAGCTTAGAAAGCAGACTTATGATCCTCCTCAACCCAAAAGAAACACCTGGAAGAGGAGAGGATTGTTTGGTAATAGAAACAGCAGCAGCAGCAGCAACAACATTATCCACGAAATTAAGATTGAAAAGAACGAAGAAGATAAGCAGTGTGCTATCTGTTTGGAGTCATTTGTGCCTAAAGAACAAGTTTTGATGACTCCCTGCAACCATATGTTTCATAGCAAGTGTATTGTTCCATGGGTGAGAAGCCATGGAAGGTGTCCAGTCTGCAGGTTTAAGCTTTATGAGAAAAAGGAGACGGTCCAGGGTCAAAATTACAGAAATTACAGTAATAATAGTGTGAATATTTATGAAGATGATTTGGCTTTAGATCTTATAAATCTTCTGAGAGCAATGGAGGAGGCTTTTATGTGGATGCATCTCACTTGAAAGGGCGATGATAGTAGAACTTGTTCTGAGGCTGTTTGAATCTTTTTCTATTTGTGTCAGAAACTGTGTTTGGCTTGCTTGTTTGAATGATTGTAAGACTTGATTTAATGATGATGTTTGGGTACTGGGTGAATTTGAAGATGACGGTACATTTTTGGGGCATTTACCTGTATACCGTGAAATTCCTATGTATTTACATATCTAACATTAGAACTTTGCCTTTTACATTCATACCACTCAAAACTTTTGTATCACTTCAAAAAATATCATAATTTTTAACTTTTAAAATGTGAAATTGGCCTTTTATTTCATAGGTAAGGCAGTATGTATGTAAAAATTGAAGTTTAGATGATGTTAGAAGATGTTAGATATGTAAATACACAGGAATTGTGTGGGGTGTATGTTAAAACTTCCTATATATTTCTGTTATGCGAGAAACTAAATTGAACTTTTCTGATGTATGGTGGCTGTCAGACTGGGTTGAGAGCTACTGCCAAAAATCCTACATTTGTGTTTTGTTGAGTAACTTAAAATTTGGCAGTAAAATATAGGCTCAAAATTCTCAAATGTGATCATGGGCAGACCTATATAAAGCTTAGACAGTAATAATCCATCCTAAAATTAATATTTGGGGGCATTTACATGCACATCACGCAATCCCTATGTAATTAAATATATGATACCTAACCATTCTTATTAACATGCATGTCACTCAAATATTTAACAAAAGATAAAAAATATCACAATCATCATATTTTCAAAAGTGAGATATACATTTGCATGTATAAATTTATGTTGTTGAAATTTTATGATATTGGAACTATTTAGAAACTCAGTGAAAATGCAAAAATAATTTTTTGTTAATATAGAAATAGGATTACGAGAGTGGTTGTAGGAGAAGGGTTGTCAGGGGTTGATAGGTAATCCAGAGGGTTGGGATAGCCCGATTGAGGGAAGTCATGGGGGGGCTTGAAGTGGGGGAGGGTCTGGAGGGGTGGATAGCAAGTAGGAATGTAGGTAGGGAAAGGGATTCAACAGGCTGGAAAGTAGTATGGACAGAAGGGACGACTGCAGTAGATGGGCGGCTGGGGATGGAGAGGTGGTGGTCGACAACATATGGGGATGCAGGGAACAAGGTGGGAAGGAAGATAAGGGTGGATACAATACCGCCTAGGAGCATGATACAATTGAGGCATCGTTCGTTGTCAGATACAACCCTAGCTAGGGTGGACTCCAGAAAGAAATCTAAAAACATTAATCACACAAAACATAACACTAACAAGCAAAAATAACACAAATATTATAACTAATATTTAAAATAGGAAGGGAAGGCCTCTCCCTTATGGATGACGATCAAAAAATGAAAAGGGAGGGGTGAGAATTAGCCCTGGAAAGGGTGAGTGGTAATCAGACGTAGAGAGAGAGAGAGAGAGAGAGAAGGGGGGCGGGGGTGGGGTCTTTGTCAATCCTAGACTTAAGAGTCGAGCGGTTCGGCAGAAGGCGGGACTGGTCGAACCCGCTCATTAATTAAGTGGGCCAAGCCCCGCGTCAATCTTCTAGGGTTGTGGGAGCTTCTACTTCATACGTTCAAGCTTCTGTTTTCTTGGTCGGATGTCCTAGCAGCCCTTGGATTTCACTGGCGACTGCATCTTCCCCCAAAACATGAAGAATTTTTCCCACTTGCGGGCTTGTAACCATATCAATCTGCTTCTCTAGGGATCCACTACTGAACGAGGTTATGCCTTTGTTTCTAACATATACTGATGAATCCTCCCAAAGCAATTTACAATCGGTTCACCCTGATCTGAAGTGAGGGTAACTTGACCATCCTCGAACCGTGGTGGCCCTGGTGGTTAGATAGTGATCGCGATGTCATGAAATTCCCTTTGTCATGTCTGTCCTATGTCTAGAGCTAGTGTTGCAATCCCACCATCTTCTATCGTCACCAAGGCTAGTCTAATGGTGAGGGCTCTTGTAATCTAGAGCTCCAACGTAGAAAAAAATTATGTGCTTCCTATCCTCTGTGAATGTATACGTGTTTCTGAATTCGTCATGAGAGTCCTTCGATCAAACTACCATTATCTCCCCAATAATCGATGGTAGACATTCATAGAGATACGTTGCACCACACCTGATCCTACAGCTAGCCTCTAATCGAAAATTCTACAAGGCATCTCCGATCAATACTTACCCGATTCTCCTTCAACCATGTCAATCTTGCCCCTTGGACATCAAGTGGTCCAACCGAAGGCTAGACCGATCCCCTTGCTAAACCCACCACCAATTCAACGGGCCAACCCACACACCATATTATAACTATAAATGTCAAATTTTAGACGTTAGACGTAGAAAGGCATAAGAATTGTGCAGCGTGTATGTAAAACTTTCCTAACATTTTTCTTAATTAGGTAATTTAATAAATTTTACCTCTTAATAAGTACTGTTGCCAAATACTTGAAAATAAAAATAGAAAACATTCAGAAAAAAAGTGACATTGAGAAAATGGCACAACACTTTAGGATAAAATCATGGCTTCTGCTAGCACAGATTTACTATGCCAAGAATATTGAATGGCTGAGGCTCACTATAGCTCAGCCTCAGGGAACGATATACCATAACAATAATTAGCTATTTTTCATGAAGACTTTTTTGTCTAGAAAAAAAAAATTATATATATATATTGCCTTT